GCGACGAGCTAAGGAGATCAGGGCGGTAAATAGCGGCGTTTATCATCAGCCACTGGCGCTGAAATAGCAAACGCGCAGACACCAAAGAAAAAAAACTGTCGTTCACTTTGCGATGTTGAGAGCAACTGAAGAGGGTCGGTGGAGTGGCAGAGTACACAGATTATCTGGACGGTCTTTCATATAACATTCATATGATCTGGGCATTAAAGTGCATTGTGTGATTTGTTCCTTGGTTTTTTGGCAAACTATTATTGTAATTAAGATTCAATACCTGACTTGATTTTCAAGCTACTTGACTTGACCTGAGATCAAGTAGAGCTCAAGTCAAGTAATAGATATATGCAATGTAAATTAAGTAAAGCAGGTGTTTACGTAAAGCACTTGATAATTTTTGTAATATAAACGTGATAATATTATAAATACACAACGGAAAGACTGTAACAAATTACAGAGAAAGAAATACAGACTGAACAAAATATTTTATTTGTACATCGTATAACAAATAACAACAATAAAACTGTAGACTCAAATAGAAAACAAGCATTTCGTCATCAGTTGATACACAAAAATGAAAAAAACTGAATTAGTTAAGAAGGATACCAGAGGGTCCTAAGGAATTCCCTTTCGTTGGACGCGGATGTTGCAGGTGTCGATGAAAAATATCTTGTCATCAAAACCAGATTTGTGATTCGTGACTACTTGCAATTAAAATACAAAATACGGTTGATCGGTTGTTTAAATATACAAGGTGATTCACAAGTCGTGACCAAAAATGAAACATCACCGCATTTTAAGGGGGGTCTTCCATGTAACATGTTTTCCTCGAGTGCTCCATCAAAAAGATACGGGGTGTTGCAGCTTAAAAATAAAAAAACGTTTTTTTTAATATATCAATAAACCGTCAACTGGAATGAGCTAAAATTTGGTATGCGGACTTACCTAAGTATTGTCCACATTCAAAAGTCTTTACTTAGTGACACTATTTTTCCAACTAAAAATAATACACCACTTTTTTTTCGAAACGCGCAATGTTTCGAATCTCACAAATTAGATCATTCATGAACAGTCGAGATACAATTAGTTTGAAAATAAAATAGGAGGCCTTGATAACATCTTGTTAAAAAAGTTATATATTATACGGCTGTTATCGCTACTGTACTACCATTTTTTTTTGTAAAAATCATGTCAAAAGTTTCTTTTTTACATTTTTGAGTGTTGTGAAATGGAATTTAGCAATGATGAGCACGCCGATATTATTTTTGTGTACGGATTCTGTAGGTTTTTACGCGTTCATTTCTAAGGCTTCGGCAATATGGAATTGCCAAACTTTCCAGAGTTAGCCGCCATGTCCGACATACCGTTCAAGAGGAACTAGAAGTGATTAATTTGGCGTTTGATGATCCTGGTACAAGTACTAGGCGGATTGTAACCCAGTTACCATGTTCCCAAAGTCTTGCGTGGAGAATTTTAAATCGTGAAGTTTTACATTCTTACACATTGGCAAAATGTGCAATGTCTGCAACCCGGCGACGAAGTGCAACGGCGAAATTTTTGTGAGTGGTTACTGCAAATGCATAATATTAAAATGCAAATTTTATTGATTTGGTTTTGTGGTCAGACGAATCGCTTTTTACGAGGAGTGAAACCTTTAATTCTCATAACGAACATATTTAGTCGTTAGAAAATCCCCGTTCTATCAGAATCCACTCGTTTCAACACAGATTTTCTAGAAATATCTGGTGCAGCATTTTTAATGGCCAACTGTTTATGCTCGTATTGACACAACGTTTAAATGCAAATTCAAATGAACTTTTCTACAGAATTACATAGAAAATGGGTAAGATGAGGTTCCGTTAAATATCATTTTCCATCAAGTACAAGTATCAAGTTGTTTGAAAATGGTTGACCTCAAGTCAAGTAGAACAAGAAAAAAGTCAAGTCAAGTCAAGCATTAACGTTTTGAGTAACTTTACTTTCAAGTCAAGTAGTTTCTAAGAATATGAAGCTACTTGGGTGGATGAATACCTATTTCTATACCTCACGTACCTGACTATCTCATGAATTACAACTACTACTAAACACCAGTTAAGTCAGCGCAAAGCGCTATCTGTCGCACCATAATGGACCACTGCAGAAAGCATATAGTTGCTATTAGTAGGAAGTGATAGGGATCTCAGTTCACGTTTAATAGCCCAGTCACCACGTGACCGCTAGATGGCTGACGATTCTGGCTGTAAAGTAGCTGTGAGCTACTTGCCATTGAATAAACTAAACATGTCCGCCCGGCCAAAAGACAGCCAAACAAGGCCAGCTGCGCGCTTCTTGGTTACTTATCAGCATGTTGTAAGCCTACTCTGTTGCCTCTGGACAAACGATCGAACACATCCTCCTTACCGGAGGTACCGTCTATCGAAAAGCGCCATCTATCACACCAGAATCGGACAGACGAAAGCATCATATTTAGTTTATTTAATGGCAAGTAGACCACATCTACTTTACAGCCAGAATCGTCAGCCATATAGCGGTCACGTGGCGACTGATTTATTAAACGTACGTCCAGAGACATAAGACCAAGCTGATGCGTAGCCAAGAAGCACGAAACGGCTGTCCATGGTCGGCAGCCTTTTTGGTCGGATGAAGCATCATGCTTAGTTTAAAAAATCAGTATTCTGAGCAATCTAATACACAAAGTGCAGTCCATTTAGCAAAAATCTGGACCCAGGAGATCCATCGCCAGGCTTCTGTGAAGTATTTGAGAGAATAAATGAAATAAAAAATATATTTTCAACCCTATTTCCCTTTTCCCCATTGCCATTGAAGCGTAACACGCTAAAGTCTGAAACGAAACAGCTTCGATATCGGTTAATGATTGAAACGTATAAAACGTCATATTTCCAATCGGAACATATTTTTAGTTCGTTTTAACAGCTAAATAAAGCATTGTTTTATAAAATGTATTTTTATAATTTTATCTATTTTCGGCTCTTTAGTATTTGCATTGAATAACTATTTTCATAATTTCAGTCTAATATACATATAATTTACCAATAGGGCTTCATAAAGGGCGAAGCCTTATCTGGGCCTTGTACAGAGTGGAGAAAAGTAATTATTAGCTCTAAATAAGTAGCCCAGGTTTCTCCCAGCAGTTGCCGTTCATCAAAACCTTGTTTTGCGTCTCCAAGCAGCGATAACCTCCAGGTCTCTAGTCAGATCCAGCTGCTCGTATTGTAACTCTAAACCAACATACCTATCAGCTTCGTGGTAATATGTGTATCAAGTGCTGTCATTCCATAGCCAATCGGATTAAAGGACGCAAGCTTTTGATCAAACATATTTATCAAAGCGTACTTGTTACTTCTTCAAATAAACGATATGTACAGAACAAATCAACCGATATACCAGAAAACTAAATTGAATTACTGCAAAGGAAATATTTGCGTACCTCTGCTAGAGACCACGTTCACGTTTGAACTCGTGACTGTATCATCAGCGCTTTTAATTAGTTCCGGTAGAACAAACATACATATAAGAGACGGATTGCTTAGAACATGAATTAATAGCAATATGAACTATACACCCAGTGTATAATAACATGGCGAAAAAACATTCTAGCTATACGTGAGGTGACAACAAATATTTTGCGTTTTTGAATGCCTGGTACAAATAGTCCAACAGAAATACAAGAACAGGATAAATCCAGGTTGAGACTAAAGGCAATACCGAATTGTTGTCACTAAACTCGGTGACTCTATTTAAGCTAAGTAAATCAGATATACGATGGCTTTCCTTACTGTATTCGCAATTTATATTTTTAACGCGCTTCTTATTAGCTTGACCTGTATGTATGCATACGGAATCTTTGAGCATAATTTTCACTAATTTCCAGAAGTTTGATTGAATTGAACCCTGTCGTGTAAACTCTTCAGACGGTAAGAAGGATGTCTTTTAAGTTTTGCATATGGAAATAAAACAACACGGTAGGTAGTTTTAAATGACTTTATTATTTTTCGAAGTATTCGTCCACGTTTCAATTCTCCATACCAACGGGAAATTGTCGACTGATGTGGCGCTTCGTTGCCGAAAACAGACAGTAACTCAGCAAGGAATTCTTGTTGCGATAATTGTCTCTGAAAGTTGTAATAAATTATGGCGCGAAAATGTTCTCGGTTGAGTTCCTTTTTTCTAATGACTTGGTGACCCTTAAAAATTCACTGTAGTGAGAACATTGCACGTATTGTTGTGAAACTTTGAATTTAAGTTTACTAAAGAGTGAGGTTAAGATTCAGTACTGACGTTCGATCCGCGAGGTCTACTATGTTTCTATATGCAAAACTTAAAAGACGTCCCTCGTATTCGGATTGAAGAACTTGATTGCTCTTCAGTTAACAGGAAAACCCCATGCAACAGTGAAGCTTCAAATGAAATGATTACGGAACGATTCGCAAGACATTTCAATACCAACTGTCCACAAAACACTAATTGATAAATCGAACTAAAAAATGAAAAATATATAATACTCTCAATTGAATTATATTGTTAATAACTTAAATTTTATTATAATTTTATTTTGAGGTCATTAATTATCATTGATTGTTCGGCCATCTACTACTGTAATATAAACTCTTTGTAATTCAAAATTATTTTCTACTTTTTAGTTCCGTTAGATATAAAAGCGTGTTTTTTAGGTTTTTTAAACTATTATTTATTAACAGGTAGTTGAATTTCGCAATGGATACTTATTCTTGTGCGAAAGTGCAGTTTTCAAAATGGCATATGTCGTTTTGAAGCTCAAATTGGGCACTTTTAAATTCCAGAATACGAAGTTCTCTATCTTTAAAAAATAACCAACTAGTACGTTATATACTCAGTGACATATAAATCCGAACACCCAGTTTAAATGGTTTTATTTTAATAAAATTTTGTATTAGTACTTAATGAAGCATAATAAGTAAATGATAAAAATTTCAAAATGATTGCACTGCTTTAAAGCCCTTTGACCTTTAATAATGTGTGGATGCACCCTGATGTGCTACGCATTCTCCAACGCGCCTAGGCATGCTTCTGATCAGGTGGTCAATGTCCTCCTGTGGTATCTCATTCCAGGCAACCACCAACTCCTCTCGAAGTGCTTCTAGAGTCTGAGGAGCAACATGTGGTCGGGCATTATCTTGTTGGAAAGTTGGATCTGCTAGGGTGTCAAGATAGGGTAAAAGATGGGGTTCTAGAACTTCGTGGATATAACGCTGCGCGTTCATGTTACCTCTGATGAAGATTAAAGATGACCTGGAACCATAAGCTATAGCACCCCAAACGATAACTCCAACAGTGTGATGAACATGTCTTTCAACAAAAAACTGTGGATTCCTCCTTTCACCACGTCGCCTTCTAACCCTGGCATGACCATCGTGCATGCCTAAACAAAATCGAGACTCGTCACTAAAGACAATACTGTTCCATTCCTGATCCCAGAGTGACCGTTGTCTGCACCACTCAAGGCGATTACGTCGGTGTTCTCGAGTTAAAGGGAGGACCCAGTGTGGCCGGTATGAAAACAAGCCAAAACTTCTCATTCGTCGGTAAACACTTCGCATGCCAATAGGTCTTCCGTGTTCTGCAAACCATTCACTTGCAATGGACCTGGTAGTGGAGAAACGGTCCCTTAAGGCCAATAATCTTAGGCGGCGATCTTCACGGACTGTTGTTCTACGGCGGCGTCCAGTGCCCCTTGCTCTTTGCTTACGGCCTTCTCGAAGCCATGCCTGACAACACCTAACCAAAGTGTCTACACTTCTTTGCACTCTAACTGCAATTGCCCGAAAAGAAAGTCCAGCTTCCCGAAGTCCCACTATACGGCCCCTATCAAACTCGCTAAGTTGACGAAATCGTACAGGTCCGCCAACGTTGATTCTTTACTGCGGCTGAAATATTCATTTTTAGAGCGTTAGTGAATTAAAAAAAAGCAGTATAAAAACCGGAATGTCCAACTGATAAGGCTGAACATTTTTTCACTTTTACAGTAAGATAAATACATCCACCGACTTTTATTAAAATAAAAACATTTAAACTGGGTGTTCGGATTTATATGTCACTTAGTATAATTACACAGCGTGGGAAAATGTCGGTACCCGAAAAGCGAACTGATGGTATAGTTTTCTTTTAGTTACGAATCGTTTTCTGTGTATACATCGATATATTTGGCATTTCACGTTGGTATCTTTGAGGTTGATTGTTTGTGAGTATAATTACCTGCTTTTCTATCATGAAGAAGAGGAAAAAGTGGAAAGCATGAGCTGAATAGGGTGAATCATATGGCTTAGAAGATACTGATAAGAATCATTTGATTAAATTTTGGGCAAAACAAACGAGCTTCTGGTGTCGAATGTAGAATACTTCACCTTTATTTGACCCTGAATACGTTATTTTATAACCCCTACATAAAAATTCTGCTTAATAAAGAATTTTGTGGAAGCAATGAATACAAATGGCTAAGGGATTTATATTTAAGATTTGGGACGCGTAGCTGAAAAAGAAATTTTTTTCGGTCCACAGAAACTAAAGGAAAAAGCTATGCGCATAGAAATCATTAAAAGCTGAGATAAGGGGTTTCTTAGGTAACCTCGGATACAACAATATGGAAATCATGGTAAATATAGATGCATATAAAGATGTGGGTTGTCGGATGGCATTGGAAGTACATTTTCTTCAATCACATTTCAGATTTTGCCTCCGAATCTTGGGAAGCGGTTTTACCGGGATGTAAGAAGGATTTTAAGGTAGTTGGAACACAGCTACGTTAGGAGGTTGCCCATTGAAGTGAGAAGATACTGTCCAACATAAGGCTTTTTTTTGTGTGCAATATATAATTTTTACCTGATATTTATATTTTATAAATGGTTTTACTTGAATTATTTTCGTTTACATAATGAAATTTGAATAATGAACAATTGTTATTTAGTGTACTTAAAAAAAATAAGTGGGTACATAATTTTTTTGTAATGCTGTAGTAAATTATATTAGTCTTTTTCTTTGGAAGTATCTATCCAAACATACCATAAAATATGAAACATCTAAAATAATGTGAAAGGTCTCATGTTTTATTGCATATCAGGATAAGCTTTCCGAAAAAAAGCTATTGAGTTATAGGCGACTGAAGGTACAAAAACAATTAGCTCAGTTTTTATCTCCAATTGTAATGGATTCCTATCGATTGATTTAGATTTGTACTTACGAGAGATGTCTTTTAAGTTTTGCAAATGGAAATAAAACAACACGGTAGGTAGTTTTCGAAGTATTCTCCACGAAGATTAATACACATCTGCATGCGCTCAAACCAATTTTCGAAGCACTTATTCCACTCGTTTGCTGGCAGAATTAAAACGGCATTTTTGAATACGTCAATTGCTTCTTCTGGTCACTGGAGCCTTTGACCACGCAGTCTGTTTTTAATTTTCGGGAAAGTAAAGAAATCGACTTAGATCAGGACTATATGGAGGATGGTCCAATAATTCCACGTTTTCTTCCGTTAACTACTGCCTTGTTTTTTGGGCTGTGTGCGAGGTTGCATTGTCTTGGTGGAGGATGATTCTTCTTTCGGGGTTCATTTTTCGAAGCTCGGTGATGACTTTTGGCAAACAAATGGTGGTATACCAATCCGCAGTTACAGTTCTTTGCCCATTAAGAGGAATTGTTGCAATATGACCCGCTTTTGACACAAATGTCGCGACCATCTTTTTCGAAACACTTCGAGAACGGATGACTTTCGTTGGCTTTTCTTCACCTTGGAACACCCAAACAGCCGACTGTCGTTTGTTTTATGGTTCATAACAGTAAATCCACGATTCATCACCACTAACAATGTTGTACACATTTTTTGAGTTTCCGGAATTGAAACGGTCAAGCGTTTTTTGACACCAATTAACCCTGGCTGCTTTCTGCTCTTTAGTCAACAGGTGGGGTATCCAACGAGAAACTATTTTTCTTACTCCTAATTCTTCATGTAAAATTTTGTGAATTGAGGTCTTTGAGATCTCCAAGGACGCGTCAATCTCGCGATATGTCACATGTCTATCTTCAATGATGAGTTTGCACACAGCATGGACATTTTCCTGGGTGCACCCACCCTGGAATCGTCGCTAAAACTCACCCGTCCACGTTTGAATTCTCCATACCAACGGGAAATTGTCGACTGATGTGGCGCTTCGTTGCCGAAAACAGACAGTAACTCAGCACGGCATTCTTGTTGCGACAATTGTCTCTGAAAGTTGTAATAAATTATGGCGCGAAAATATTCTCGGTTGAGTTCCATTTTTCTAATGACTTGGCGACACTTAAAAATTTATTGTAGTGAGAACACTGCACGCATTGTTGTGAAACTATGAATTTAAGTTTACTAAAGAGTGGGGTTAAGATTCAGTACTGACGTTCGATTCGCGCGGCCTACTATGTTTCTATACGCAAAACTTAAAAGACATCTCTCGTATAAGAAGTTGTTGCCCTTTGAGAGCTATATCTGAAATATTATCTGGGAGCTAATCAAGATCTTGTCGTTTGTATCATCTTCTCTTAAATTTGATACCAGGTATCTTGTCTGCTTTTTAATTTTTGTAACCATATTAGTTTTTTAGTATCTGTTCTTCGACTTCAAAAAATTTTCCAAAAACGCACTACATTTTGATTGTATGTAAAAATATATGTTTCACATGCCTTGCTCGTTCCAAGTTTAAAAAATTGTTTTACTGTTCGAGTTCTCTGGATAATTGAGAAACGCGGGACAAAGACAACAAACTTTAGAGGCTGTTTACTTTGTTGCTGTCAGTTCCATTAGGGATTTACTTGTTCTGCATTCGTCTTCTCATCCTGGGAATGAGAGTTTTCCGGTATTTGTCAGTGGCTCGGCAATGCTGCAATCCTAACGAACGCTGAATGAGAGACAAAGCGTTGAATGCTGGTTCAAGAGAAAATGCGGATTCCCTAGTTTTCTTTCGGTAGAATAATGAGGGATTTAGTCAGTGCTCATACTAATACTCGGACAATCTTTGGCTGGATGCACTCGTGCACATGTACAAAGGTCTTGATTTTGCAGCTAGAACGCAAATAAATTTAGGCCAGGAAGAAAGTTTGTACTTTGTTCATGTTAAGGTTTCGAATATGTTTATTTTGTTCATAGAGGCGCTATATAGAGAACATTGTATGACAACTTAAATCCATTAGAATTTTTTTTTGTTATGGCCAGATCTTCATTTTCAATGTCAAGCTCAAATAGCAAATAGGGCATGACTTAATACTACCATTGTTCTATTTCTATTCCCAAGGAGTATTCGAATACAATTACAGTGGGCAGACAACTTAAAATTGATGAAACAGCTTAAGAAAGAAGCTTTTTTGAGGCATGAGAGGTATAAGACTCAGGAGACGCTGCAATGTTTTAAGAATTCATGAAATGTGCCCTACTTCTCAATACAGTCTGAAAAGAAAGCATTTTTACAGCCAAAATCAAATATCTTCTAAGGAATTTTGGAAAGCTATGGACTCTCTGAATACCCGAAACAGTCCCTCTGACGTTAATGGTCTGCAGTACGACCCAGATGAACTTAACAACTTCTTCATTGACGGAGTTCCTTCCAGTGGTATCTCATCTGGCGTTGATGCAAGCCAATACGTATCTGATCGTAATATTAACAATAAATTTTCATTCCGTTTTGTGAGTGCTGAAGATATTGAGCGCGTATTAATGTCATTAAAATCTAATTCATCTGGTACTGACAAGATTGACCTCAAGATGATTCAACTAGTTTTTCCTTAGCCAAGTAACGTAATAACCTATATTGTCAATTTTTGCCTTGTTAACAACACTTCCAGCTGGAAATACTCTTAAGTTATCCCTATCCCAAAGATTGATAATCCAAAAGAATTTTCTCATAAGTATTCTACCTACCTTTTCGAAAATATTGGAAAAAATCGTAGTTTTCCAACTAAAAACATTTATTACATCTAATAATATACTTCCTATACTACAACTATTTAAAACTGTAATGACTCATACGCGTGATCAACACGTGATCAGAGCTCGATCCCGGCTTCCTTCCAGTACAGCCGTATAGCGTACGACATAATGTCGTTTCTGTCGCTTTGCGGTGGTTAACAGCACAGACAGAGATGGAAATAATGGTTGATTGTTCTCCGCCGGTAGAACCAATGAAATCAAAGACGCGCCTCGACCGGCAGACTCATAGGCGTCGGCAACGCATTGGAACGTGTTTCGTTGAGCGATCGCATATTGTGTGTTTTTATAAGAATTGTTGTGTGATTGTTATTGTTGTGGTTTCTGTGGTTACTGTTTTGGTTATACTTAACCATGGAGAGTACAAATGGCACGAGTGGAAGTACTGAAAGCCAGGGAACAAGTAGACGGCTTCGTAAAGCACTGAAGAGGGACGCGAAAGAAATCGTGCTCAACGTGTTCAATTATCTGAACAGAACTATGTCGCAGGGAGATGCACTCGCGCGTTGTGAAAGTATGACAGGCGTTCCAGAGTGGACCATTCGCAGGGTGGTGCATGAAAAGAAGAAAACTGGAGCTACTACTGATCCAAAGTTTAATTTGAAGGGACGAAAGGCCGTTAAATTGGATGACGATAGCAAAATGGCGTTAAGGCGAACCGTACATTCATTCTTCTTTAGGAATGAGATACCAACCCTCAAGGCTGTACATGCAGCGATCAAGGAAAATGAAATTATACCCCAAATGAGCGTCGAGGTAATGAGGAAATCCCTGCACGAAATTAATTTTCGTTACGAAACGCATAATCGGAAGTCAGTATTGATAGAGAGACCTGAAATAGTCACCTGGCGTCGAAAATACCTACGCGAAATGATTGAATATAGGCGACAAAGCAGAAAAATCTATTATTTGGACGAGACATGGGTAAATGCAGGTCACACAGTTAAAAAAACCTGGATAGACAAAAACGTAGTGAGTAACCGACAAGCAAGCATTGAAGGTTTGTCAACAGGTCTTCGTGGACCGTCAGGGAAAGGTCAAAGATTGATCGTAACTCATATTGGTAGCGATAGTGGCTTTTTAGAAGAGTGTGACTTGATTTTCGTCTCTAAGAAAGGAGGTGATTACCATGACGAAATGAATACCAGCTGCTTCGAGAGCTGGTTTCAAGGGGTGCTTCAGCGAGTTGAGCCCAACTCTGTGATCGTCATGGATAATGCTTCCTACCATAGTCGTCGAGCCGAATGTGTACCGACTATGGGATCTCGAAAAAGTGACATGCAACAATGGTTGCGCGAAAAAGGAATCCCGTTTGACGATTCATGTGTGAAAGCGGAATTGTATGAAAAAATTAAACAGCACAAACCTGCGAACATTAGTTACGTGACTGATGAGATGGCCCGTCAATGTGGTGTCACTGTGCTGCGGTTACCGCCCTACCACTGTGAACTAAACCCAATAGAGCTCATCTGGGCTCAAGTGAAGGGTTATATTGCGCGCCATAATACAACCTTCAAATTACCAGACGTTAAGGTTTTACTTGAGACTTCCATACAGCTAGTAGCGCCCGAAGCTTGGCAGAATGCTATCCGTCATGTTGTGAAGGAAGAAACAAAAATGTGGCAGCTTGACCACCACATCGACACCATCATAGAGCCAGTTATAGTCAATTTCAACGAGGAAAGCGATAGCGACAGTTTATTACTGTCAGATGTAAGTGGAAGCGACGATGAATAAAGGTGATTCCCAAATTTTTGACTTACAATATGTTTCAAACCACTCTTTATTAAGCATGTGACAAATCTAGTTTACCCATGTTAAACGTTCATACCCCGCCTATGAACAGCCGACTACTGGTAGTTAAGTGATGTTCACGTGAACATCGATGAGTCATTACAGTTTTAGATAGTTATAGCATACCACATAATCGGGCTTTCGCTTTGGTCATAGTACTACAACCGCACTTGCAACCGTTACAGATGACTTATCCAGGGCATGTGACAATATGATGTACAGTTGCTTGACTTTGCTCGATTTCAGTAAAGCTTTTGATACAATAGGTCATTCAATCTTATGTTCGAAACTTAAATCTCTGGGACTAAGCAATATGGCTGTAGATTTCTTTAATAGCTACCTGTCAGGCAGATCCCAGTGCACAGAATTAAATGGGCACATATCTCAGTTTCGTAGTATTACCAGAGGTGTACCACAGGGTAGTATTTTAGGACCTTTGTTGTTTTCACTGTAAACGTCAGATTTGAAAAGTCAGTTGGAATTTTGCAGTACACATCAATATGCAGATGATACACAACTGTATTACTCTTCTAAACTTGATGATGCTTATGTTGCTTGCATGCGTATCAATTCTGATCTCGAGTATTTATCTACAATAGATATGTAAGTGCCCACAGCCTTGCATTAAGTGAAAATAAAACTGAATTGCTTATTTTTGGATCAAGATCAAGTCATGCATTAAACTGTCGTACGGTTTGAAAAAATATGACTACTTCAGTGACGAATTTCGAGCCACTGGCTGGTTCAACATGCATGAGCGCTTTTTTATGCATCTAGCTTGCTTAACTTAAATATTAACAAAACCCAGCTACCATTTTACCTCTATACCAAACTTGTTAAGAGATCGGATCTTCATGATAGGCAAAGTCGTTCTTGTAATCTCTATGATGTTCCGTTACATAGTACTGAACAGTTTAAAAAGTCATTTACTTATGTTGCATCTACAATATACAACTCATTGCCAGATACAGTAAAATAATTGGATCTCACTTAGCAGCTTCTGAAATAGAGTCAAATCCCATGTGAAGAGAGCACAATAGTTTTATTTTTGTTGTATTAATTACATCCATTATTATTCTCTAATTGTTAGCATAGTATTATTTACGCGGGTTGCATGGAAGAGCAACTATGTTGAATGCCGCCTCCCTCATCAAATGTGTTTGTTGTTCCTTTAACTAAAAATAAAGACATTATTATTATTATTGATTACATTGCTTTCTTTCTGACTTTTGTTTAATTTTTTTTTAACCATTTCTTCTATTTATTTTATCCTCTTTTCGATTTTGCAAGATTAGTGAACTACTGCTTTCTACTGTTTTTTCATTGTTTTTTTAATTTTGATGTATTTCTTACTCTATATCGATCTATTATTTACTTATTTATTTAATCATTTCTACCTCCTCCTACATCAAAACATATTATGTTGATATACTAAGACTATGTTACTATAGTCACGTGCACATTCTTAGAGCAATAACGTTGTTTGTTATCGCAAACGTAGTTGCCTCTGA